GAGGGGCAGTTGTTTGAGTAAGACACACCTCGGCTCTAAAGCCCCTTCGTGAGCCTGAGCAGTATAGGACCACACCACTTCCGTGTCGGGGGTGGGGGGCATTCAGAGTGCCATTCCCCTCCCCCCCACCTCTCTCTCTCTGGCCTGGCAGCAGCGCCCACCCAACCCCAGGCCTCCTGGGAGGAAGGAGTGGGCGTGGCGTGTGTCCCAATAAAACTTTACCTGCAAGACGTTTTATGGCCCTAGCTGAAGGCCCTGCCTCTGGAGTGTGGGGGCTGGGCGGACACCAACCCACCCCTCCAAGTGCGGCCTGCGTCCCCTCACTAGGCCTGGTGGCTCCCTAGGTGGCTGAGCCACTGGATGGTCACTGGAAGTTCAGCAGCTTGACACCACCAGGTGTCCTGAGCGAGACCACCCCCCCACCCCCCAGTCAAACCAGTCTACTGCTGTGGACGCCCACCGATCACCAAGCTCTCCCACCATCAATCCACCGGACAGCAGTGCGTCTGGTGTGGGGTGACCCGTCTGCAGTCCACTCCCTATGCCCCTCCTTCCTTTCCTGGCTGGCCTCCCTACCCGAGCGAGCCTGTGTCCACAAGGTGGGGACCCAGCCCTCAAAGTCCACCACTGTGTGTCTTCTTCAAGTGCAGACAGCTTCCCCTTGCTCCCGGCCCTGAGAGCGGCGGTCACAAACAGGTGCTGGGCCTTCTCCGACGCTGTTCCTGCGGTGCAGGACAGATGCCTGAGAATTCACAGGGATGGCTTGTTTGACCTCAAACCAATCTTGCAATATTGCCTGGCATGCTGTGTTCTTCAGTGCATCTGCGATGCGTGGTCCGCAAATGTTTCATACCCGGTTTCTGCAGCTACCTTCCTTTGTAATAAGTGAGTTTGTGATGTTCTGGTACCTAATCTACTATCTCCTTTATCTGATGTGGGAGTCCATGACCTTAAAAAACAAGCCGGGCCACTGTTCCTCTTGGTAGACGTCTTCTGGACAATGTGGTTGGTAAGGGGAGAGCTGAGACTTCCCTGGAGACCTGGGACCCAGGCAGGGCCCTCGAGGGGGCAGGCTCCAGGGAAGGGCGCAGGAGGTGCAGGCCCTGCCTGTGGACTTTTTCTGGGTAGATTTCAAAGGTGTCTGTCTGGAGAAGCAGTCTCTACTTCCTCTCCGTTTCCAAACTTACCATTGAGTGGCTCTGCCCAATGCTCAGTTTTGCCTCCTTCCACGAGCTTGTTGTGACCCCCCAGGGGAGCCCTGGGTGGCGCGTGCTCAGGACCCCCGCTGCCAACTAGAGAGGTCAGCGGTTGGAGATGACAGCCGTGGAAACCTCACGGGCCCATGCTGCTCAGACCTCCTGCCTCTCCTAAGTCAGAATCAACCGGACAGTAGCAGGTTGGGTGGACTACTCCGGTGCCACCCTTCACCACCACCCCTGCCAGGCCTTTGCTTAGCGCAACTACAAACCCAAAGCTTGGCGTCGGGTCCACTCCGGAGCAAAGTCCCCGCTGGTGGGCCCAGCCAGAAGACGCTCTGCTGCAGCCCGCCCGCCTGCAGAGAGGCTGATTGGCCCTGGCTCTCTGTCCCACCCGTTTTCCTAGTTCCTCTCACCCTGAGTGACCCTGTTCCTTCCCCTCCCCGGGGGTGCCCAGGTGCCCAGAGCGCCACACACTGCTCCTGCGGTTCAGGCAGATTCAGAAGGGCACCTGGCAGCGTGCAGCCTCCTTTAGGATCCAGGCCCATCCTTCTTGGCTGCATTGTGCTGTTTCCAAACAAGAAGGGGCCGGGCAGTCCTGGGGTTTCCTTGCCGATCTTGTGTCCTCTGGAGTGGAGGTGGCTTGCCTGAGGCTCACTCAAACGGAGCGACCCTGCTCCTCCCCATCCATCCCCAGTTGGCTGGTTGGCTCTGGCCAGCCCTGTCTCTGGGTTCCCCAGCCAGCCGGCACTGACTATACGGACAGACGGGTTTTCCCAGCCCTGTTGGGTTTTGCCGGATGGGAGCACGGTGTGCTCATGCTTCTTGGTCTCGTAGGGCACGGCTGGCCTGGCTCTGCAGGCTTCTGCCCCCACCTTCCACTGTCCCTCCTCACGTAGGTCTTTCTGTTGTGAGCTCGCTCATGCGGCTCAGAGCCCAGGGTGAGTGGGGACCTCTGTTTCTAGCAGTCAGTCCGGTCACTTACGTGATGGCAGGGAGGCTACCTTGCTGTTCCCTCCCTCCACATTCGGGCCTTCCTTGCACCATGGGAGGCTGTCCCTTGAAGCCCCTCGGCCCTTCCAAGCTCACGTTACATCCCCGACACATGGCACTTTCAGTCTGTACATACGTACACACACGTCTGTTCTTCAGTCATGGGCCCAGTCCTAGTGACCCACAGCAGTCAGATTCCTCACAGCCCAGGGGGAGGGGTGCTGGGGGGTGCTGTATCACAGGTCCACCCCTTCCCAGGCCCCCATTCAGAAGCAGGCAGCATGGCCCCCTCACCCACTCTAGACTTTGAGGGATGTCCAGAGCAATCTTATTACACGGAGACCCAGGAGGTCCTGTACCACCTCCCTGCCTGTCTGCCCATCAGGAGGGCTCTGAGGGACACTGGTCTGGCCCCAGGCCACTGCAGGCTGAACTGCAGCTGTCTCATCTCAGAGGAGGTGCCTGCGAGGGAGGGCTCCGGCCACCGTGTCCTGGGACCCGCTCTCGGCACTGGCCTGGCACTGGCCTTTCAGACACATGGAGAGGGACCCCTTCCCCAGGCCTCAGGCAAGTTCTCAGAGTGCCCCACTGTGACAGCCTGTGGGTGCCCCCACCCCCACCCCTCCGGAAGAGAGGACAAGGGCAACTTTTCACAGAGGGGCCGGCGGGGCTGCACTGCGACTCCCCAGAGACGGGCTGGAGCCGGCCTGACTGGGAGCCCGGCCCACCTCGCTTATCTGCTGCTCAGGCTCAGGTGGACAGAAAGCTGATAGCTCCATGTCCCCTGGCGGTGTCCTCCCCTCAGCCCTCCGCAAGAGGCCGGGGGGTCAGAGGTGACCCTGCTGTGACCTCTGTACCTGTCCCCACCCTCCGGCCCTCCCCTCCACTGCAGGACCTGAGTCCATGGACTACATGGGTCACCCTGCCCAGACATGGCCTTCTAGCCTCCCTGGACCTCTTGCCAGCCCTGGGTGCCTTCAAGTTGCCCCCCAGACCTTAGCCCCCCCTTACCAGGCTCCACCCTCCAGGCCTGGACAGTGCAGCCCAATCTCTACAGAGCCATGGCCACTCTCCCCTGCCCCCCATCAGGGTGGGGTGGCCCCACCTGCGGTCCCCTGCAGCAGTGTAGGAGCCTGCATGGCTGACCAGAGGATGGTTCCAGAAGGAACAGTAGGGATGGGCGTGGCAGTGGGAGGTGTCAGCCCAGAGGCCTCTCTGTGTTTCAGGCTGTCACATGGTCACCCCAGGGTCAGAGCCAGGCTCTGAAGCTGCCCCAGACATCCCTACCGGCTACCTGTGGCTGGGCTCGGCCCCTCGGGCAGAGTGACCTTAGATGCCAGCCAGCCTAGCCCCTGCCCGGGCTCCATGGTGGAGTCAGGCTTTGCCGTGGGGAGGGGGCCCAGGAAGTGTGAGTGGGTCTGAGGGCTGGCTTCCTGTGGCCTGCAGTGGGCAAGCTGGCTGGGGGCCCCTGGGAATGTGCCCTGAGGGGAGGGAGGAGAGGAGCGGCCTGGTCTGACTAGCTGAGACTTTGACTTCAGCTCCTGTCCTCCCAAGCTCCCCCTTCACCATGTGACCCCATAGCTAGGAGCACAGGTGAGGAAACACACTTCTTCCCCCTGCCCACCCGCAACGGGCCATGGCAGGGGGTGGGGGATGTACATCCCACAGGAAAGGGCAGGGAACCTGGCGGGAGCAGATCAATCGATGGGCAGGGCCTGGGGGTGGGGGTCGGCCCTGGGCTGCCCTGAAACAGGGTCCCAGCTCAGGGCTCCCCTCAGCCTGACTGGTTCCAGCTCCCTGCCTGCCTGCCTGGGGAACGTGGGGGTAGGAGTGAGGAGCACAGGTAATGCCCGAGGCCACGGCCTCTTCCTTCCCAGCATTCCCTGCTGCAGAGCTGCCCGGTTGGAACCCAGGCTGCCAGGCTGCATCCTCTGAGGGCTGGGGTCCCCAGCACCCCAACCCTAGCTCACAGGTCCACCCAGCACCAGGTGGGGTCTCATTAGTGCAGAGCTTCAGGTGGGGCTCCCCGGGAATCATCCCTCATCCCCAGAGCGCCTCTGGGGAACTGTGGGCGGAGGGGGTGCAGGGGGAGCTCTGGTCTAGGCCAGGATCTGATCCGAATTCACTGGGAGGAGAGCCGTGGAGCCCTGGGCCCCTCCCTGCATCTTCCTCCTGGGGCCTCCCTCCCAGTCCTCACCAGCCACCTCCCAGGTATGTCTGAGGAGAGGAAGGAGGAGCAGGGAGCCAAGGAGGGGACGAGGGCACCCTGTCCACAGCTGGGACCTGGAGTCTGGGACGCCTCCCACTCCAGCACCTGTGACCAGAGGGAGACCAAGCTGTCAGCAGGCTGACCTGGCACAGCCAGCCACACACAGGGTGTGCAACCACTTGGCTGACTGGCCTGGGCCTCAGCGTGCCCTCTGCCCTTGGGAGCCTCCCTGCCCCTGGCTACTGTCACCACAAAAAGCCTCCTATCTTGGGACCCCTCTAGGCCGGCCCAGGCTGTGGGCCCTGAGTCCAGACCGCAAACTCTCATGCAGACCCTCCTCAAGGGCCTGGCTCAGGTCCCACCGGCCCAGTGACAAGCCCTGACCACCACTACCCTCAACCCCCAGCTCTGTTCTCTGCAGATGGCGAGTCCTCCAGAGGTGGTGGTGGTGGTGGTGGGGGGGGGACCCTGGTGCAGGGCATATGGGGGCAGGCACAGGCACCACAGCCACCAAGCTGGACAGACGAGGCGCTCCTGCACCCTTGCAGTGGGCAGGGCCCTCCCTTTGCTGGGCTGCTCACAGGCCCCTGTCCTCTTCCCAGCAGAAGGCCCGGCCCCTGAGGCAGCAGGCAGCCCGGGGCGTCCACAGAGCCGCCCGGAGGCGGCAGTGGCTGAGACAAGGCAGGGGCAGGTGGCTGTTGAAGGGAAGAAGCTTCAAGCCCAGCCCAAGCCCAGACGACCGCCCCGCTCTCCTGCAAGACCCAGAGGCCCCAACCGACCGCCCAGGATCCGAAACTACAGCGTGAGGGACTGACCACCGGCTCCTGAGATCTCCCCCTGCACTAGAAGATGGGCCCACATCGGTGGGGGCAGCAGAGCAGGCTGTGGACACTGCTGGACAGCCTGGTGGGACAAGGGTCATTAAAGTGCCTCCCCAGCACAGGGCCACAGTGTGTGTGTGTGTTTGTGTGTAAACCCAAACCCTTCTACTCACTCCACGGCCCTGTGTGGGGACCCCTCTGTCCCACCTCGACAGACAGAACCCCTGGCTGTCTGCAGTCTTTCCAGGTGCAGGTGAGGCTCCTTCAGGGCCTGACGGTCAAGGCTGGTGCTGTCAGGTGGAGGGGTCAGGCAAACACTGCCCCTAACCCCGTGACTCTCGTCCTGTCACCCCACATGTATGAATACACGAGCTCTCTGCCCCAAGCACTCCAGGGCCCCAACCCCCCCTGGCCCCTCCCCAGCATAGGTGTTCCCTGGCTCTGCCCTTCTGACTTGGCCTTCCCCAAGGGCCCTTTCTGGGTGACCTGTACCTCACCTGGTGGATCTGCCTGCTGCGCTGCAGGCCATGGGCAGACCTTTGGCACAGAGGGCTCACAGGCAACCTGGCAGACTGAGCCCAGTGGCAGGTCTGGTGTGGGAAGGGTCCTCGCTTCCCCAGGTGGGCCGGCTACTTTCCTCAGCTCCCTGTGCTAAACGGGCCAGGCAGGTGCACTTCAAGGACCCCCAGCCCCTGCAGCATCCTCCTTGCCAGCCTGGGCCCCCTTGACTTCAGCATGGCCGAGTGACTCCCTTTAGCTAAAGAGTCAGTAGGAGGGAGCCCTGTCTCTTTCCACACACTTAGAGCCCAAAGGTAGGGTGTAGGGAGAGGCAGGGCAGGAGGGGGCAGGCAGACAAGAAGGCTGGCAGGGAAACAGTAAAGAGCAGTGGGCACAGAACCAAGGAGCTGCCATGCTCTGGGCACCTGCACAGCCACCCGGCCCTGCCCCCCAACATGAGGCACTGAAAACGAGGGGCGGGAGAAGCCAGTCAGGTTGTGCCACCAAGAACACACAGAAATCTCGCTGTGCCCTCCGGCTGTGCCCACCCACACTTTCCATGTGCCTGGACCTGACCCAGGGCCACAGGAAGGCCAGAAGGGTTGACGCCTTCAGTGTGAGGGGCCACTGGCAGCCCACCTCCAGCCCTGCGCTGGGCCCCTTCTCCCTGAGATCCAAGCAGAGAGCAGCCGGCGTGTGTTGGCTGTGCAGGGCCCACCCCAGCAGAGCTCTCTCCTGGGGAGGGCAGGCCAGCCAGCCACAGACATGTAAGACGAATGTGCGTGAATGTATCCATGTGTGCATGTGCGTATGAGCACACACTTGTGTTACTGTGTGTCTGTCTTTGGGAAGCATGCACGTGTGGTGGGCATCCCAAGAGTGCACATTGGCAATGTGTGCACTTGGGGGGGGGTGCACGCATGTACCCTATGTGTATCCCCATCTGAGTGTGCCTGTGTGTGAGTGCACTGCACAGGGCATGCATCTAGAAAACACGCAGCCTGTGCAGGGCGGGGGTGGGGGGACAGTGGGGTGCGGCCCCTTTGTCCACTCCGCACCAAGTCTCGGCCCACACTCCCCCCCCTTCCCCTCCACCAGCCTCCCAGGAGTTAGAGGGAGCTTGGGAGAGGCTCGGTGGCGAGTTGTTGAGGTGTCTGCTTGTAACTGGATTTTTGGTGGTTGGGGGTCTTGGAGCCCTGTGTAGGCCTCGCCTCCCACCACTCCCATAATCCCCAACCCCGGCAGCTCCGGGAGGGCTCCACAGGATGACCGACAGTAACCCCGTTCGGGGCACCCTCGGCCGGGTCAACGACCGCGCTGGAACAGCAGGGCTTGCGCCTAGCCCGGCGCTCCCGCCCCCGGCCCATCACCCTATCGCCTAGCAACGCCCCCTCGCGCGCCACCATTGGGCAGGCGCGCACGCCCCCGACGCCCGATTGGCCGCGGCGGGGGTCCTGGACACGCCCCCTGATCCAAGCGGACCGCGGCTGGGAGGCCAACGGCGGGCGCTGGTGTCGTTCGGGGATGGTCCCCGTTCGCCCCGCGCGACCAACGCCCCACGGAGCCCCCCCAGTGACCCCAGTGTGACCCAAGCATGCCCTGGCCCTCGGGGAGCCCTCGCCGCGAGGCCCGCGCACACTGGCCCCGGCGGACACGCGTGGGTGGTCGGGCGTGGGCTCGGCCCCCGCTCGGCGCGAGCGGTCCCCGCGAGCAATGCGGCCCTCGGGGGCGGGCACGGAAGCCGGGAGGCGGAGGGGGGAGCTCTGGTCTAGGCCAGGATCTGATCCGAATTC